CAAGGATCCACCGAGCCGAGGAAGACGGGGTGCGCGCCTCAGGGTTACCTGCGGCCGCTGGTGTCCCAGAGGACCTCTGCCTGCATCGAGGGCCGCGAAGAGGGCGCGGGAGATCGCGGGACGTCGCAAATGGGGAGGATGAGGCGACTAGCGGAGGAGAGGGGGAGACGGGTGTGCGGAATGGGGGCGGCACGGCGTGGAAGATTTGAGATGAGGTGGTAATGAGGACGTTTTGGGCGGGGAGACACGGAGGAAGGACGAGGAAATTGGAAGCGGAGGAGAAGGAGGAGCGACAGTGAGGAGGAGGAGGAGGAGGAGGAGGACCAGTGTAAACCCAAGAGTCATCAACGATGTTGGAATACACAGTCCTTCAAGCTCCGACGCTTCCACTGAGGGGAGTGCCCCGTTCGGGGACAGCGTTGTGAAAATCTTGGAGCGTGCCGAAACATCATTCTCAGGAGTTCAACGCCACGAGTCAACCTGAATCGGGCCAGAGCACCATTCCTGGGACTTTCACACCACGAATCAACTGCTGCGCCCTGACGGTCCTGAATCGCTCCAACACGCCGCTTCTGTTGCATTAACCATGAGAAACCAGTGAAACTCTTGCAGAGTTTACAACGACTGTGCGCGGCGCGGAGGCGAGAGCCATATTTTGAAAAGGAACCGCCCTCCATGCGCGAAGCCCTTGCGAAGTTTTGCAATGAATGTGCGCGGCGCGGAGGCGAGAGCCACAGTTTGAAACGGAACTGCCCTCAATCCGTGAAACCGTTGCAAGTTTTGCTTCAACCTGTGCATTCCTCCTCATCCTCCCACTTCACGCCCCCTCCTCCGCCTCCTCCCCCTCCTCCTCCTCCTCCTCCTCCTCCTCCTCCTCCTCCTCCTCCTCCTCCTCCTCCTCCTCCTCCTCCTCCCCATCGTCCTCCCCCATTTCTGTTCCTGATCAGTAATTCCTCCCTCTCGCGCCGCGAGGCCTGTCGAAAGAGCGAGCCGGGCGTTTCCGCCTGAGACTTCCTCACCACTTTATGATCTTGAAGATTCCAATTCTTGACGTTTCGCGTATCCCCACCAGCGCATCCAGAAACGATCAGCAAGTTGGTAAGTCAAGGACTGCTGGAAGCATGCAGTTGCGCGGCCGTCTTCACAAAAAAAGCAAGGATCGCAAATAACTCCCCGCATTGCAGTTTAAGATGGAAATCGGTGCAAGATACGACGTGGTGCTCCCCTCTAGCGCAGGTGGCTGTATCCACCCTGGGCCATGAGAAGCAAGGATCACATATAGCTTCGCGCAGCGAAGTTGAAGATGGAAACCGGTGCAATATACGCCGGGTGTTCCCTGCGGTAAGCGTCTCTGGCGCAGCTGGCCCCGTCGTAGAATCGGATTTTCTATGTTTGGGCCATCTTGGGCTCTCTTGGGGCTCTCTTTGGGCTCTGTTGAGGCTCTCTTGGGGCTCTTTTGGGGAGTCTTGGGGCCCTCTTGGGGCTCTTTTGGGGGGTCTGGGAGGCCTCTTGGGACCGTCTTGGGCCCCTTCGCTTCAAAAGAGGGGGGCGGTCAATTTAGGCCCCGCTCCTCGAAGGCCCAAAAGAGGCGTATTGGGGCCCTCTTGGACCGCTCTTGGGGCGCTCTTGGGCGCTTTTGGGGCCGTCTTGGGGCCCTCTTGGGCCTCTCTTGGGGCTATGTTGGGCCATCTTGGGGCCATCTTGACGCCTCAAGAGCCCATCGGACGCGAAAAAGCGAAAAGGCAAAACGCATTGATCTTCCGTAGGTTTTGAACCCATGTTGGCCTCTTGCTGTGGGGGAATCTTTGGAGGGCTCGGAGGGCACTTGAGAAACCGTCTTGGGGCCGTCTTGAGGCCTCTTGGATGCGTGTTGGAGGCTATCTTGAGCCGCCTTGAGGTATCTTTGGCGATCTTGGAGGCCACCTTTGGCCAGCTAAAGCCAACTTGAAGCTATCTAGGGCCATCTTGGACGCTCTAACCCCTCGCGGGGGAGCCCGTCCAGACCCAGGGAGGGGGGGAGGTAAACCTCCCGAGCAGGGAATGGAAAGGTTAGAGAAGGAAACGGTCTAGACCACCTGCGCCCTGAGGGTTGGTGGGATTTGCGCGAGTTCCACGTGTGGAGGGCATGCCGTTCTGAACATGTGGTTCTCGCCGCAGTTCCTTGCGCATCCGTTTTAGAAAGTGAAAGAGTTTCGCGGGTAGCGGGCATGTGTGAAAATGTGATTCTCGCTTTAGCTCGCACATCCGTGGTACAAGTGCAAGAATTTCCTGAACGGAGAGCATGATGTGCTCAAAATGTGGTTCTCGACTCAGCATTGTGCATATTGGTTCTGGCAAGGTTACATCCGGTTCAAAGATCATCGTTGTCAACGTCTCCGAATTTGAGTTTTGGCACGAAGTCAGATAAACAAGGTTCCACCGTTACGTTGAAATCTCATGAATGGCGTTTTGGCACCATTCAGGATCGTGAACTTTCAGGAATGGTGTTCTGGCACAGTGCAGGAATTACCAACGGTTGTTTTTCAACGGGGTATTTCCTCCAGAGAAAACAATTTGTTGCAGGGCCTATGAAAAGGGAACTTTGAGGGGGGGCTTTTGCAATCTCGTTGCTGAGCCTTGGGTTCGCACTGGTTTTCCTTCTCCTCCTTCTCCTCCAACACCTCCCTGTGAATTTTTTTCTTCTCCTCAAGGTAACGTTTGCTACCCCGCTCCCTCCCCCCCGCCTGCCCCCCCGAGTAGTGCTAACGATCGTACTGGTGGGGGTGGCATGGACCTCCCCTACATGCTGTGGTGCACAGGCGATTGATGCGCCGGTGGCGCGGACGCACCCTGGCGGGTGCACGCCGCGGCGGCTGTTACCGTTACCCTCCCGCCCGAACCCCTCCCCCGCTGCTTCCCGGGAGCGAGGGGAAAACGGGCACCCTGAATTTGAGCGCTCCCCTCTTAGGGGCGTCCCCTCCCGCCTTGCCCCTCCGCAAGCGAGAGTCATGGCCCTCGGAGCTCCCAGTGTGCTTCTGCCATGCGAATATATGCGTGCCACGTCTCCCGGCAGCCAGGGAGGAATTACAGTAGGTTTGCGTCGTGTCGACCAGCGGCGACCCCAGCGCGGACGTTCAAGGTTGAACGCCGCCAGCGACCCAGAATCGATCGATGTTGAACGATCGGACGTTGCGGCAGCGGCCGATCGTTCAAGGTTGAACGATCCCTGCGGTGTCAAAAACCAACGCTGGGAATTCTAGACGCTTCGCGTATCCCCACCAGCCCGTCCAGAAACGACGCTCTGACCGCTCCCCGCCCCTCCTGTCCAGGTCAGTGGGGAGGGGGTAGGGGGAGGGGTAAACCCCTCCCCGAAGGGGAAGAAGGAGGGGTGGAAGAGGAAACTCGTTAAACCACCGACGCCCTAAAGGGCTGGTGGGATTAGGTATCCTCTCCGCGTCGGGCTTCTCGCGCGGTTGGAAGCGCTCTGAGACTTGGCGCGCGCACCACGCGTCGGGTCTCCTCCCCCCTCCTCCAAGGGCGGGGCGAGGGGGAGGGGGAGTGATGGGGGGGGTAAGGACAAGGAGGAAGAGGAAGCGGTGGATGAGGAGAAAATGGGGAGGAGGAGGAGGAGGAGGACTAGTGTAAACCCAAGACGCATCAACTCAGAGCGTGAATTACCTACCCCGCTTTCGCTTCCAGGCAAAACCAAGTCATACCACACGCCTCCTCTGCAAGCGGCCTGACCAGTACATGCCGTAGTTTGGCATCGTTTGGTATCTCTTGGAAGCGAGGGTGGTCAAAAGCGAGGTAGGTTTGTTTGCCCCCTAGAGAAAATGGGGAGGAGGAGGAGGACTAGTGTAAACCCAAGACGCATCAACGATGTCCAATCGCCCCCTTTTCAGAGTCCCCTCTTCATAAGTCTCGACAAGACTGTATGTTAATCGCTTGACGTGCCCCATCGGAAGACAACCGTTTCAGAATCTTCGTTCGTGCCAAAGCACGAGTGTTGGGATCTCAGCGCTGCGGCTCAACGCGACTGTTGCGTCCTGGCAACCCTAAACCGTGTCAGAACACCAATCCTCGGAGTTCAACTCCGCGAATTAGCGTGTTTGTTGCGTGCTGATAACCGACAATCATGCCAGAAACATGTTTCCTGGGGCTTAAACCCTACGAGTCCTCGCAACAGTCGCAAGTATTTGCTCAAGCGAATGTGCGCGTCGATAGAGCGAGAGTCACAGTTTGACACGGAACCGCCGCTCATCCTTGAAGTCGTTGCAGGAATGCAAAGGTTTATGTGTTCGGCGCTAAGGCGAGAGCTGCATGTGGAAAAGCACCCGCCAAGCTTCGGGGTCATCAACGGTGAGGAAGCCTCCGGCGAAACGCCCCGCAGACAGACACGTTTGAGGGTGCGACAGGTGGTTATACACAATGACAACGGATGGAGGATAATCCGGAGGGAACAGACACACACAGACACACTTAACCGTCGATTCGATAGAACATATGGGAAGATATTGGGAATCCTGTGGAATCATGTTATTTGTATGTATTGATTTGTGTGTGTCCCAGCGCCCGCCCCTTCAGAGAAGGAGGAGGATGAGAGTGGAGGAGTTCCTTGACTTTGCACCCCCTCAACAGCCCCGCCCTCTCTCTTCGGGCGCTCTGTCTCCGCCCAGGGGTCTGTGGTCCTGTGGGAGCACCCTCCCTCTTCACGGTGGGGAAGGGGGAGCCAACAGATGTTCGTCGAAACACCGAACAACTCGGGGACACGTGCTTACGCGCACCCACCACGGGGACAGGTGGCGAAGGAGGCGACAGCCCCACGAAGCTTGGCGAGCACCGCCAGGGAGGGCGCATAGAAGAGCGCCAGGAGCTCGAGGCGCACGCGATCCGCCACCGACTCGGAGCGGGCCCCGATGCGGTCGGACCCCGTGCAGCCAGGGGGCCGCACGATCGCCAGCAGGAGCAGTCTCAGCGCCAGCACCATCACGCCGCCGCGCCGCGAGGCGCTGGCGGCGGCGCCTCCACCTCGGCCGCCGAGAGGGCCTTGGGAGCGGTAGCGCATCCATCCGTGGCAGGGGCCGCGGCCGCGGGCTGCGGCGCGGCAGCGGACGGCGGCTCACGGGGCGCGGGGAGCGTTGCCGAAAGTGCCGACCGCGCCACGGCGGCCACCGTGCGGCGCAGGGCGCGACCCAGCAGGGTTGCTCGCGCCGCCGCCTCGACGAGGTTTGCGGCGTCGGCAGCTCTTCTGGGCGCAGCCATCCCGCGGCGGTTCTGACGCGAGGCGAGACGACGACGACGCCGTGCGACCGCTTGAGCCACAATGTGGGATAGTGAAGGAGGGAGGCAGGGAGGAGGAAGGGAGGAGGAGGAGGAGGAGGAGGAGGAGGAGGAGGAGGAGGAGGAGAGGGAGGGGGAGTGCAGTGCGGGGAGGCGATTCGCACAGGGTCGCTGGCGTGGTGCGTGCCTAGCCCTGCCCCCATCTCGTATCCCCCCCCCGCTTCTTCATCCGTCTTTCCTCATCGTATGCCCCCGTATCCATCCTTGATGTTTCCTGTCGTCGTCCTTTCTCCTTCCGTCCTTCTTCCCTCCCTGTCTCTCCCCCTTCCTCGCCTGATTCCTCGCCCCTGCCTCCGCCCTCTCGCTCACCCAGCCCCCCCCCGCCCCTGCCTCCCTGTGATCCCTCCCCTCCTGCGGCCCTTTGCGGGCGGACCCCGCCAGCCGGCGCCGCTAGGGCAGAGACGGGAGAGGCTGCACTTAGGGTTAAGTCGGGCCTGTCCCTCTGCAGGAGGAGTACGCAAACATAGTAAACACATTGTTTGGGGACGATATTTGTTGAATCTGTTTTGAATAGTTGTTTGACTATGTTTAATTTGTCGCCCAGAATCCCCCTGTAGGGGAACAGGCCCGACCTAAATTTAGGGGCCCCCAGACGGTGTGGTTCAGGAGGGAAAAAAGCACACAGACACAATTATTCGTCGATTCCCAGAAAATATGGGAAAATATGGGAAGTGGGGGGGAAGACATAAACCCAGAAAATATGGGAAAATATGGGGGATTCTTTTATTTGTGTGTATTTATTTGTGTGTCCTGGGGCCCCCAGACGGTGTGGTGACCACACCGCGTGGTTGGGACTCCTGTCGTTCTCCGAGGGCGTCTCGGGCGACCGGGACCTCCGGGGGCCCAACACCGTGCGACGGTGGATCGCGCGGTGAGGTCGCCGGGGATTCCAAAGTCAGGAGGGAAAGAAACACACAGACACAATTATTCGTCAATTCCCAGCAAAATATGGGAAAATATGGGAAGTGGGGGGGGAAGACAAAAACCCAGAAAATATGAGGAAATATGGGGAATATGGGCGAAAGGGGGAGATTGGGAAAGGAGGGTATACGAAATTTGCTGCATGCAGCTGGTTTCGATATCACCGAGGGGCCCGTTCCTCGATACATGGCCGCCTCCGGCGCCGGGAGGCGCCAGGAGAGTCAGCTACGTGAGCTGATTCTCAACCCCCCCCTTTGCTATCCCCCCCTTTCGCCCGACCCGAGCTTGGGAGCCCTTGCGCCCGACGGGACGGCGAAGCCATGCGACTCGGGGGCCAAACGATTGCATACCCATGCGGTGTCGCACATCCGCGCAGCTCCGCTCGGCTCGGCGTTTGTCAGGAGGGGGAAAAACCCAGAGACACCCTTAATCGTCGATCCCCAGGAACATCTGGGAAAGTATGGGAAGTGGGGGGGAGACGAGCACCCAGAAAACATGGGAAAACGTGGGGAAACCTGTTCTTTGTGTGCATTTATTTGTGTGTCCCAGGGCCCCTTCAGTTTGCCTCATCCCCCGTGGGCGGCGCCTCTGGCCTCGCCCCTGGCGCGCCCCGCGCGCCAGGGAGGAGCACCGGTCCAGGAGATCCGCGCGGGGCACCGACAGGTTGTGGTTGTGCAGTTGTGTGCTCCGTTGTAGTCCATGCGGCGGGGCTGATGGGCCTGTCTTCCACCGCCACCACCATAAGTAGGAGGGGGAGGGGGTCGTCGTCGTCGTCCTCCTCCTCCTCCTCCTCCTCCTCCTCCTCGTCCTCCTCCTCCTCTTCGTCCTCCTCCTCCTCCTCCACCTCCTTCCCCCCTCCAATTTATATGGTGGTGGTGGTGGTAGAAAACAGGCCCATCAATTGTGGTGCCGCCGACCTTGAAGGGAGACGACGACAACGACGACGAAAAGGACGACGACGACGACGACGACAACGGCGGCGGCGACGACGATGACGACGACGTTGACGTGGGCCAGAGTCCTGAGGGATGCTTCTTGGGGTCTCTTCGGAAGGATCTCGGGGGCCTCTGCGGAGGAATTTTGGGGCCTCTTGGGAGCCACCCGACGCGTTTGCCACGGGAGGGTTGTTCGACGCATAGGGTCCTTACCGAACGAGCGGCCCCAGACGGTCCCCTCCCGTGACCCTCGCGCCCGCCCTCCTGGAGTGTTTCTTGGGGCCGCAGTGTAGCATGCTGTGGCTGTCGCGGAGTATGTGTGGCTCCTTTTAGGGCCATTCAGGGTCGTCTTGTTTGCTGCAAGCGAAGGGGGGAAAGTGAGAAGGAGAAGACCTTGTCAGAAGGTGTCGGGACTTCTCGGAAGCATTCGCGGCGTCCGAGAGGCTGTTCGTGTCTTCGAACATTTCTTTCTCAGCAGGCCGGGGGACTTCCGAGCCTTTTGAAAAGGTCCGCCCTTTCTCGCTGTCCCCCTGGGCGCGCCGCTGATATTTGGGCCTCAGCGTGTGAAGTAGAAACCACAACATGGTTGTTGCTTATGTGATGTTGTTGGATGGTTGAGGGGTTCTTTGCGGGGGATCCGTGCCCACCTGGAACTCATCCTCAGATGCGTTGCAACAGTAATGTGGCCCGTTCTCCCACTCTTCCCTTCCCTGCCATACATCCTACTCATCCAACTTCTCCTCCAGTCTTTCATCGTTTGCTTAATCATCTCCCACATCTTTTTTCTCCTCCCGTCTTCCAACCTCATCCTCCTCGGTCGCATCTCTACTTTCCCCCTTCCTCCGTCCTCCTTGCTCTCGCCCTACCCCCTCCTCCCTCTCGCCTCCTCTTCCTCGTCCCCTCTCGTCCTCATCCTCTCTCGTCCTCTCTCGTCCATCGTGTCTTCTTGACTTCATGGCCCTTCCATTCCCTCCTCACTCTTCAATCCTCGCTCTTCAATCCTCGCCCCTCCTGCTACTGCTCCCGTTGTTGGTCTTAACCCCCTCGACCGAGGCCGCAGCTGACCCGGTCGGACTCGGACAGCAGGTGCATGGAGTCCCAGAAGAGGAGTGTTGTTTCGATTTCGTCTTCAATATCGCACTCCACCCTGCCTGCCCCTGCTGCTCCTGCAAGAGGAGGAGGAGGAGGAGCGGGTGAGAACAGGGTTGAGCCTCAAAGCACGATTCAGGACAAACAGCTGGCCCCAGGGAACGGGTCGAGAAGTGAAGAAATCAAGACGTCGCATGTTTGGGAGTAGAAGGATCGCATCATCCTCATCATTGTCTTCCCGTCCTAAGTGTACTGCCACCCTCCTCGGCGGTGTCTCGATGGGTCGGAAGTTTCCAAGCCCGGATCATTATCATAATGGTCCACGCCGTTTTCCCATGGCCCGTTTCATCCTCATTGTGAAGCACGGGTGGAGAAGATTTTCATCATGTACCATCCTCCATCCTCCTCGTCTCTTGAGATCATTTTCCTTCTCTATCTTGTGCAATGGTGTTTGTGCCCCTTTCTCCCCCTGTTCTTCCTCCTACTCTTCCAGTTTACTGCCCGCCATTTGGCTGGATGGACACACCACCTGCTGGGTCATCCCGGGGGGCTTCTAGGGCGTAGCCGAAAGAGGCATTGCAGCGTCTGTGGCCCCTGGAGGGCTTGCTGTAGCTTCTGCAGTCCTCCCCCTCCTCTCTCGGCATGACCTGCTGTAGTCAGCTTTATTCGAAGGTACGCAAAGCTAAATGCTGGAGGCATCCGAGGGTTTCTGGGAAGCCTCCAGGAGTGGCTGGCGCAGGGGGCGCTGCGCAGGATCGCGTAGAGCGGGATTGCATGGAGCTGGATTGCGAGGGATCTCGATGTGATCATCGTCTTCCTCGAGGGGTTCAGGATACGGTATCTCCGGAGGCCTCCAGAGATCACGCGTGCACCCACGGTTGCAGCGTTTCTGGCAGCTTCCTGGGGCATCGAAAAGGACACCAAGGCGCCCATAGACTTCTTAGGCCTTGAAACAGGGGGGGAATTTTTCTAGGGGTGGACGATGTGGAGTTGGAGTACGAGGATAGAGTAGCTGCAAGTGGCGCAAGGCGCGATCATCTCCCCACAGCTGCGCATCTCGCCACGAAGCGGACGGCGCTCGGGACGGCGGGACGAGGGCGGGGGTACCATGCGGACCCTGCCTCTGAGGCCGAAAGTGAAGCTCCATAGAGGGCCACGCAGCTGATGGGCCAATGCGCCGAAGCTGCCTCCGCCCAGTTTGCGGATCCTGCCGCTGGGGCCACACGTGGAGCCCCTCCGTGTGGCCACGATCCCCGAGGTTTGCCCGACCTGCCTCAGTCCACCATTCGGACCTTGCTGCCGGAGCCTCGGGGTGGAGTCACTTGCGGGTCAACGAGGCGTGTGAGGGGTGTGCCGACATGAAGCACCGCTGCCATGCGCACTTACCACCGGGGCCTTAGGTGGAGCTCTTTGCGGGGCCACGGGACAAATCTGTGGAGCGAGTGCCGAAACGATTTACCGCCGCCACGCAGAGCCTGCCACAAGAGCCTTCGACACGTGTGAGGGGCATGCCGAAATGAAGCAGTGGCGCCATGCAGACCCTGAAATTGCAGCCTTAGTTGGAGCTCTCTATGGGATTACAAGGCGTGTGAGGGGTTCGCCGAAATGAGGTTGTGTTGCCGTGCGGACCCTCGATTTTTTTTTGAGCCAAAATGGAGCTCCCTGCAGGTCCACGGAACTTGTGAGGGGTGTGCTGACATGTGGCGGTGGCGCCGTAGTTTGAATTTCCGAGGGGACCACGAACAAATGTGTGAATGGTTCACCGAAGTGAAGCGGTGGCGCCATGCGGACCCTGGAATTTGGGCTTCAGTTTGTGGTTTCCAAGGGGCCACGAGGACACGTGTGAGCGGCGTGCCGAAACTGGCACGCGAAGGGTACAGGCAGAGTCGGGAGGGGAGCACCAGGAAGAGTAAGGAGGACGATGAGGAGGGGAGGTCGCGGGACGCTGCGGAGTTGAAAAAGGACCCAACACCACCGGACGGTTGGGAAATTTGGAGGAGGTGGCGGGGAGGGCAGGCGGAGGCGAAGAACGGCGATGGGGCTACAGCAGGGGAGGATAACGAGGCGGAGGAGGCTGACAGCGATGAACCCAAGACGTTGCAACGATGCTGCAAGGCACCCTCCCCGACCCGAGTCCCTTCTGCACTAGTCCATGCAGTCATCCCACGGCGCGAGGCGCCTCCCCTCGGAAGACCAGCAACCCATGAGCCCGCAATTTCGACGGGGAGATCCGTGGAAGAAACGTGCGGCGACAGCGGATGCCCGGCGATAGCGGACTCGACAACGGATTCTCTCCATCCGGCGGTACCGGATGCGACAACGTAGAGGCACCATGTTTGCGTAAGGGATTGTGCCCAACGACATTTCCGCGTTAAATAATAGTAACCATATTCAGAATGCAAATGATGCCGTTATATTTGTGTCACCGCTTCACAATGTAGGAGACATGGTCACAGGTCCAAGCGAAGTCTCAAGCGACACCCCCAGTTCGAAGAAGCTGCCCTCCATCCGTGCAACTGTTTTGCACAAGTGTCGTCTTGTGGTAGGGCATTCGAAGAAATCTTAGGCGAGAGCCCCGTTTTGAAAAGGAACCACCCTCCATCCGTGCAACTACTGGATATTGCGAAGGCCTTACGGCCAGTGCCGCCGACCCTGAAGGGGGACGAGGAAGACGACAACGTCAACGACGACGCCGACGCTGGCGAGCCCTCGTGTGGGCCCTCCGTCCGCGGCGCCAAGACGGCGAGAGCACCATTTTGAAAACCACCCGCCCGCAATACGTCTGCATTGTCGGAGGTGTCAAGCGGAGTGCCTGGCCCGCCCTAGCGACACGTCTGGTGGTGCGACAGGGAGGACTTGTCTGCAAGGGGGGGGGGGATTATGGAGGAAGAGGAGGACGAGGAGGAATCAAAAGAGGATGATGATGAGGAGGAGGAGGAGGAGCTTGGCCATGATGGGGTGGGGAGGTGGGTGGAAGACGAGGTCGCGCGCGCGCATCGAGGAACAAGTTCCGGCACCACACTCATCAGCGCCTCAATTCCAAGAATGCGAAGGCGAATGACGTGGTGGCAAGGGGCGGGGCGCATCTCCGATCTTTTCCACTCAGGCGGTCGTAAGCATGGATTAAAGGGGCGTGGATTAGCGACGGGTCCCGTTTCCATGGGAAACCGCGGATTTCCGCCGCCGAACGAGGCGGCACTTGCCGCACTTTGGGGAGGGCACCTCCCCCGATCCATGGATTTGGCGACCGCGCGCCAAATCCATGGATCGCTAATCCATGTTTGCGCGCCCCCGAATCTCCGATCCTTTCTCAACGTCCCGGGTTTTCCTATCTTCTGCCGCCTCCCCTCTGCAGACGGCAGCGGTGGTGCCGGTGCCGGTGCCGATGCGGGTATTTCAGAACCCCGAATCATCAGGGGCCACTCGGGTCAGGGTTAATTCGGGTTCGTTTTGGGGGAATCCGAACCCGAGTTACCCCGGGCCCGAGTTACCCCGGATAATTCGAGCGTCCAGAGTCCCGAATCATCATGGGCAATTCGGGTCAGGGCCAAAGGGCTACATCGGGTTCGTTCTTCGGGAATCCGAACCCGAGTTAACCCGGGCCCGAGTTACCGGGGATAATTCGGGCGCCCAAGTATTCGTGTCGGTGGTAGTGTTGGCGCTGGTGTTGGTGTCGATGGCGGTTGTGTCTGTGTCAGTGTCGGTGGTGGTGGCGGTGCTCCTCCTTGGCGGCGTTGGCAGCGGTTGCGCTGCTGGTGGTGACGGCGTTGGGGAGGGTCGGGTTTTTTTTGCCTGCACTGGAGAGGAGGAGGGAAGGGAGAGAGGGCCTGAGGCCTGAGGAGGAGGGTGAGAGTCAGGAGGAGGAGGAGGAGGAGGAGGAGGAGGAGGAAGAGAAAGAGGACGAGGAGGACGAGGAGGATAAGACGCTGCTTGGCGCCGCCGCGTGTGTCAGCACAGGCGGGCACACTAGAAGGAGGGCAGGCAAGGGCGCCTCCCTCAAATGCTCCTGGCGCGCCCACGCCCACCCGAGGGATTTCGGCGCGGGTCCGGAGCACAAAATTGTGATGCAGAATATGGAAAGACAACCTCACACTGTGAGGTATCTGAGTGCAGGCTGCCTGTCGTTGCTGCGGCTCCACAGAGAGTCGCAGCCAGTGGACCTCGGTTCGTTCGCTTCCGGTGGACGCGGGGCCGCAAAGGTCCCGGAGCCATCACGGCCCTCGTCGGCGGATGTCCCCCAGCCAGAAACAAGCGTCTGTTACGGGCAGCGCTTTCAGAAAGGCGGGGTTCATCAGCTGCACAATTGACTAGAAGGTAGGTGGCCTGCAGTCCGTCGAGAAAAATCCGCACGACACGCATAGGACACAATGGCCTGACGCAGCCCACGACCTGTGGCCGCGAGCGGCCGTGGCAGGAAAAATGCCAACACGCGGCACCATGGCCCTTGGGACCGTGAAATCGGCCTCCTTGGGCCTATCGTTGTGGCCGAGCCCTTTGCGCCGTCGCTTGCGATCGGGAACGAAGGCAGCGCCTTCACGCATAGGAGTGACAGGGTCGACCATACTCGAAGGCCACACTGCGGTCCGCAGTCACATCCGAGCGACCACAAACTCTATTGGCAGCTTCGGCTAACTCGCTGGTGTCAACCTACGCAGTGTATATAGCAGGGTTAAAGTCAACACGCTGTCCTTAACGTTGCGGGTACTCTGACTAGGCGGCTCACTGAGTGCTTGGTCAGGCGCACGGTTTCGCTCCTCCTGGGTTCCTCCCGAAAAATCTTTTGGATCCCGAGCAGGACGAAGAGCGGGGTCCCGATCGGCAAGATGGCCTTGGTCCCGGGGAGGCTCGGGCCAGAGAGTCCCTCCGTGGATGTCGTCACTGTCTGGAGGCGCGAACGGGGCTCTACCTCTCACTGGACAGACTTCCAGGGACCAGCGTAGACGGGCATTATAAGATCTAGCTCCCTTCTTACAACAACTGCACCTAACAAACCCGTTCTGCTGGGGCATGTGATGGCGCAGGTGGAAGGGTGGCGGTTGAGCCCGAGGGTTCTTCTTCTTCTTGGTGCCAGGTTTGGTTTTCTCACGCGGACGAGTTTCAACGCTTCCCGCGGAGAGGTGATGCAAATGCGCAATAACAAGCTAATGCAGCACTTCTTGGTCGACTTCATGGCAAGGCGCATCGCCTTCTGTTGCTGAGTCGTGGCCGCGCGCAAATCTTTCTGGCATTTCTCGCAGTGGGATCAGCCCATCTATTTGCTCGCGCATCTTGGGTCGCACCGGCGACCCCTAACATGGGAAATTGTCAAGGCCTCTCCAAGGCCTCCAATGTCATCAATTTGCGCCACATCGGTTTCCAGAGGTCAGCGGGCCGACGAGGCCCGCAAGTGTGACCAGGCCCCCAGGGCAGACAGTCCAGGTTTCCCATGTAGTCTGTAGGCACATGCGCAGGGGTGATACAAGCCTCTACCGTTGTAATTCAAGGCGCACAGCTCAGCCCTTGGGGTGCTCTGAGCAGGTCCAGGGAGGGCACCGTACACCATGATGTCACTGCACGACGAGTATATATCGAAACCCCACCCCTGCTCTCGACGACTCCGGCCAGAACCGCGCCTACCTGCACGCTCCGTCGGTGTGAGTATCACCTGTGACCCCATCAAGACTACCATGCTCAACGCACCAGCGGCCACTGCCATCTCGCCTAGGCAGCGGCGGGAAGCACGATCGCGAGAGCAATCCTCGCGTCCAGAACCACGATCCGTGAGACCTTGGCGGGAAAACTCTCATATCAGCATTACCTAGACAGGCTAGCCTCTGCTGTTCTCGACCTGGGCATTCCCATGCTATGTGATATGGTGCGCAGAAGTCGTCAGTGCAGAACGGGCAACCTGATGCGGCGGCATGTCCATGTCGACATAACCTGCTAGGCGCCAAGAAACCCATGGATGGAGCATGCTTGATGCGAGGGGGTCCACTTGGAGGCTGGCTCCGAGGCGCCCTCGGGGCCCCGGTATCGTCGGGGTCGAAAGGGGCTAGACCGAACGGGCCCATGACGGGTTCAAACCAATATCCAATGGGCTCCTTCGGGCCCATCCCGTCGCCAGCGGGATTGCGTCTCTTTGCCCGAGGCGACCGCGTCTCGCGAGCGGCAGCGGCCTTAGCCAGATCACGAACATGAACTGGCGCGGCACGCGCATGCCAACTTTGTCTCCAAGATCCGTTACAATAATGAAAGCGGGCGCGGATCGCCAGGCAATGCCCATCCGCGCCAGGGGCACGGCGCCCATCGCGCACGCAACCTGCCCCCGCGGAGTCGGAGCCCGAAGGGCGCGAAATAGTTGCGCGCGCCAAGCCTTATGCACCGCGCCATGGGGGATGCGTCTGTCCTGAACCAGGAGCGCCCACTGAAAAATGGGCCGGGTCCAACAATGGACCCGTGGATCGCCCCCTGCAGCTCCCTGTAGGCAGGGGGAAATACAGGCGGAGGTGGTAGCCCCAGGAGTGTACCAGGTTCCTCTCATGACGCTTCGCATCTGCTGGACAAGTCCGGGGGGGGGGGGGTTGGCGGGCGCTCCGCGCGCCCCAGCGCCGCGCTGCATAGCGGAAGGCCGTGTCTATCCCGATCACATCGTCACCGCCGCCCGTGCTTTCTTAATGGCTGACAATCGAGGCATCCTCGCCCTGGTTCAAGCGATCCTCGAGCGCAGGCGCGCGCAAGTGAGGCGCCTAATTGCAGCCGCCTCAACCCCCGAATTTCCAAAGCCGACGCATAACGAGTACCCAGATGTCGGACGCGACGAACGACTTGTTTACCGATCCGCGCGGGCGAGCATGCGGCGGCCATCTTATGTTTCGCAGGGGCGAGGTCCATACTTTCCTATGTGGTAACAGGCTTCGTCCATATCATGTATCCGTCCAGATGGCGATCGTAATATCATCGGCGCATAAGTCCGCCGCGCGGGCGACATGCGTCGCGCTGTCACACATGAGATCGAACGAGCCGAACATCGCGCACTGGAGGCAGAACGCGGCCAGCGGGCAGCCTGTCAGGACGCCTCTGGTTGCCCGAACCTCCCTCGGCAGCGGGGAGTCGCATGCTCCGTTGCGAGAGGCCACGTCCCTCCGCAGGGCCAACAGCACCAGTCGAACTGGAGAGTGGCGCTGGGCTGCGGCTTCGACTGAAAGACGCCAGGGAATGCAATCGAAACAGTTTTCCGATCTCGACTGCGACCTGCACTACAGCGCGCCCCCCCGCCCCCACTTCCGCAGCCCCCGCTTGAACAAGTAGCCTCGCGGCCGCGTCTGCCGTGGATTTTTGGCCCCTCAGGGCGAGGCGCGATCTGCCAGGGCGTCATGCCCGCTGTCGAGCCCAGTCGATTCTCTCCCTCTCTCTCTCTATATCCCCCCCCCCAGAGCCGATAGACCGAGCTCAGCAGCGCAATGGGCCGATGGCCCCCTGAGCGTTTAGCGAGTAGCACGATGTGGGCTCTCCGAAACAATGCCGGTCAAAGCCCCCATGGGTCGCGCAAATGAATAGTGTGGCCAAGGAGGGGGAGCTCGTCATTCGAGGCGATGGCCCAATGCTTCGGGCGAAACCTATCAGCCCCAACCGCCGTACACATTGGAAACATTAAGGCAGCTTTCCTCAGCTCGGAGATATCGAGGGGGAAGGGAGCACTGCGGGCCTTCCAGATCATGTCACCCTGAGGAGGCTGTAATCGTGATTCTGGAGCAGGTTGTTCTGGTGGTCGGATGGGGCCTCGTCGAGGCCGCCCCAGATCTCGGCCCAAGAGGCCCGTTGGCAGCTGCCGATGTCTCCCGCAATGTTTGAACCCCCATACTCAGTTTCGACCGTTGGTACCTTCCAGCCCTTGGGTTTTGTCCATCTGTGCTCAACATTGCCCAGCCCGTCCGAAGGACTCACATCTCCGACGCGACGACAAGGCTAACCACTAAAATTACGATTGCGATTGCGACTACAATCGCGACCACGATTACGACTACAACCGCGATCACAATCACGAAAGTAACCACGACTACAATCACGACAACAAACCACAACCGCTGATTCCTATTGCAATCCGCATGAGAAGATGCTCACAAATCCCCTCGCGTGCATGGCGGCACACAGTGGATTCCCTGGGAGAAAGAATTTCCTAACATTGTCCACCCCGCTCAGAAACAGAGTAAGTGTAATCCCCGCCGCCAGACGATAATGACGACGACGACCACCACGATTACTACGGCAGTAGTTGCAGTCGCAGTAGTAGTCATAGCACTAGTACTAATAGTAGCAGTAGTAGTAGCAATAGTAGCCGCAAAGGTGAGCATCGTGATAGTAGTATATGGAGTAGAGGTAGAGGTAGAGGTAGTAGTAGTAGTAGTAGTAGTAGTCGTAGTCGTAGTCGTAGTCGTAGTCGTAGTAGTAGTAGTAGTAGTAGTAGTAGTAGTAGTAGTAGTAGAAGTAGCCGTCGTCGAAGTGGTAGTATTAGTAGTAGTCGCCATAGCCGTACTCGTAGTAGTATTAGTAGTAGTAGTGATAATAGACGTCGTAGTAGTAGTGGAAGGAGAAGTCATAACATTCGTAGTGGTAGTCGTTGTCGTAGTCGTAGTTGCAATCGCAGGTGTACTGGTAGTAGTCGCATTCGTAGTCGTAGTCGTCGTGGTTGCAGAAGTCGTCGTAGTAGTAGCAGTAATAGTAGTCGTAGTAGTAGTAGTAGTAGTAGTAGTAGTAGTAGTAGTAGTAGTAGTAGTAGTAGTAGTAGTAGTAGTAGTAGTAGTAGTAGTAGTAGTAGTAGTAGTAGTAGTAGTAGTCGTCGTCGTCGTCGTCGTCGTCGTCGTCGTCGTCGTCGTCGTCGTCGTCGTCGTCGTCGTCGTCGTCGTCGTCGTCGTCGTCGTCGTCGTAGTCGTAGTCGTAGTCGTAGTCGTAGTCGTAGTCGTCGTCGTAGTGGTGTTGGTAGTGGTAGTAGGAGTGTAAGTAGTAGTGCTAGTAGTAGAAATAGTCAAAGAAGTAGTAGCAGTCGCAGTCGTAGTCGCAGGCGTGGTTGTAGACGCAGTCGCAGTCGATGCAGCAGTAGTCGTACTAGCTGTAATAGTCGAAAGTAGTAGTGGAAGTAGTAGTAGTAGTAGTAGTAGTAGTTGTTGTTGTTGTTGTTGCTGTTGCCACCACTCTGCTCATCCTCCTTGTCTCCTTCTTCTCCTTAGAAGTAGTAAAAAATATGTGTAGTAGTTGTCAATTGATAGAGATAGTGGTAGTTGTAAAGCTGTTGTAGTAACAGCAATAGTTGTAGCACTATTGGTAGTGACAGTGGTAGTGGTATTGACAGCGATGGTAATACGAACGGTATGTGTAGTAGTCGTACGTGTTCTTGTTGTAATTTCTGAAGTAGTAATAGTAACCGAAGGCGTACTAGTGGTAGTCGTATGTTGAGCCGTATAAGCCGTAGTAGTATCAGTAGCAGTAGCAGTAGCAGTAGCTGAAGTCGTCGCAGCATTAACAGTCGTAGCAGTACCAGTGGTAGCAGTAGAAGTAGTATTCATAGTAGTAGTGGTACTGGTAGTCGCAAGTAGGCGTGGAAGTATTTGCAGTTTTTGTAGTAATCGTGGTAGTCGTTGTACTGGCAGTAGTCGTAGCAGTAGTAGTCGTAAGAGGCGTAGTTGAAGTAGTAGTACTATTCGTAGTAATAGTAATAGTGGTAGTAGTAGTAGTAGTAGTAGTAGTAGTAGTAGTAGTAGGTAGTAGTAGTAGTAGTAGTAGTAGTAGTAGTAGTAGTAGTGGTGGTAGCAGGTCTAGTAGTGTCAGAAATAGTCCTAGGCGTAGTAGTCGTAATAATAATAATCGTCGTAGTTGTAGAAGCAGTAATAGTAGTAGTAGTAGTAGTAGTAGTAGTAGTAGTAGTAGTAGTAGTAGTAGTAGTAGTACTAGTGTTGGTGGTAGTAGTCGTAGTAGTAGTAGTAGTAGTAGTAGTGGTAGTGGTAGTAGTATGTGTAGTAGTAGTAGTAGTAGTAGTTGTTGTAGTAGTAGTAGTAATCGCAGTAGTAGTAGTAGTAGTAGTAGTAGTAGTAGTAGTAGTAGTAGTGGTAGTGGTAGTAGTAGTAGTAGTAGTAGTCGTAGTAGTAGTAGTAGTAGTAGTAGTAGTGGTAATCGTAGTCGTAGTCGTAGTCCTAGTCGTAGTCGTAGTCCTAGTTCTAGTCGTAGTAGGATCCGTAGTAGTAGTAGTCGTCGTCGTCGTCGTCGTCGTCGTCGTCGTCGTCGTCGTAGTAGTAGTAGTAGTAGTGGTAGTGGTAGTGGTAGTGGTAGTGGTAGTGGTGGTGGTAGTAGTAGTAGTTGCTGTAGTAGTTGTTGTAGTAGTAGTAGCAGTAGCAGTAGTAGTAGTAGTAGTAGTAGTAGTAGCAGTAGCAGTAGTAGTCGTAGTAGTAGTCGTAGTAGCCGTAGTTGTCCTAGTAGTAATAATGGTTGTGTTACTCGGAGGAGGAGGAGGAGAAAGTCTTTGGGGACCAGTCCTGTTCACCACCGAGAGAAAAGGGTGGGGGAGGCAAAACTAAAGACCTACCTACAAACTCAGAGGTCCGCGCGGATTCCTTCGATCGGCGCTGGCCGAGGAAGCCGCGCGGACCCCCGAATTATTATGTTTCTGTCATTGCTGATTCCCTTAATTTACGCGTGACACGAACACAAATGGGCCGCCACCGTGCGGGATCACGGCACCCCCTCCCCGTTCGGGCGGGCGTTTGCTACAAGCACAGCAGACAGCCGCGCCGGCCGGAGAGGAGGAGGGGACCTGCAAATGGAGGGCGTGTCGCAACATGAGTGCGGTAGGTTCTCGAGCGGATGTGGGACAAGGGTTAGTCCGTTCCAGAGCGTTCCGGAACGGTCTCGGGCCGCGGCGCCCGATACATTCTGAAGCACCGATGGTTCTCAGCGATCCCCGATTTATCATTGTCCCATGTTGTCATTTTCATGGCTTCGTCGCACTGCAGCTGAATCGGGGGAGCGTAAGACCCGGGTTTGCCAGGACTCGGGTTCGCCATCGTTTTTTGACTACCGCGCCTCGGATTTTGACGAGGAGGAGTTTCGTGGGATGTCTGCAGCGGGAGGCCTCGTCAAAATGCAGGCTCGGCCTCGTCATTTTTGTTGACGACCTCGTCGGGGATTTCCGAGTCCCCTGTACCCGGGTCTGACGCCCCCCTGAATGTTGTCATTTTCATGGCTTCGTCGCACTGCAGCTGAAGGGCGTGTTTCGCAGCATGAGCACGGGAGGGTCGCGTCGTGTCGGCGCGGCGGCGGTCCCTCCGCGGAAGTGTTCGTGGTGGAGCGCCGCCGGTGGCCCAGTGTCGGCCACTGTGGACCGATCTGGCGATCGAGAAGCCGCCGGTCGTTCAAGGCTGGACGATCCACGCGGCATCAGAAACCAACGCTGGGGTCGTCATGACATGAGCCTGTCGGGGGTGGACAGAACCCCCAACAGTGCCACGTCGATTAGTGAATTGTCCGTTCTCGGTTTTCGAGAGGGCGCCGTGGCCGTTATTTTCCAGGCCTGCGCCCTCCAGGTTTGGGCCTCAGGTCGTTTTCACTAAACCACGTTTTACTAAAGGGAGGTCTGTCCATCCCCGAGCCTGCCACATCGCGTATTAGGTTTGCTCTGGTCCTCCTCCCCTTTGTCGTGGTCGTCGTCGCCGCGCTCGTCGTCGCCGTTGTCGTCGTCCTCGTCGCGGGAGGTGGCCCTCAGCGGTCGTAGCAGCATCTCCCTCCACGGCTGCGGCAGCGGACCCGTCACGGCGGTGACGCCGATGGCCGAGCAGGAGACAGCGGCCTGCCAGGGGGGGTGAGCCATTCTCTTTGGAAGGTAGGAGGGAGGAGCGGGAGGCAAGGGAGGAGGAGAAGATGACGTGAAGGCGTCGGCTGTGGTGAACCTCCTGCTTCCTATCCTCCTTCCTCCTTCCTCCCCGCCGCTTTCTCATTCCTCCTTCCCCTCCCTCCTCCCTCCTTTCTCTACCGCTTTCCTCCCCCCTGCTTCCTCATGCTCCTCTTCCTGGGCGCTCTGCTGGTGGTGCCATATGGGCGGGAGGGGGGAGGCCACCCTCTGGGAAGGAGGAGGAGGAGGAGGAGGGGGAGGGGGAGGGAGGATCAGGGGCAACGTTTGGGGGGGACGGGCTCAGGTGGGGGATGTAACGATTCCCCAACGCCCCTTCATCGCCGATCGTGGCCCGATGGTATACAGCCCAGGAACGTGTGGATTCGCTATTAGGGACCCATCGCAGGTCAATGGTCAATGGATGATGTTCTGGAGGTCGGAAAGGGGTGTGGCATAAAGGGGTATGGTGCCAATCGTGGAAATGACGATGCTATCTCCGATAAATAACCGCGCCGGATTTCCCTATACATACAATTCGCACCAAACCCCTTTGCACCATACCCCTTTCCTACCTCCAGAGATGTGTCATCGATTCCAGGTCGATGTCCCTGAGGCAGTCGCCCCACCCCAGTCGCTGTCCCTCAGGGGAGGGGAGGAGGAGAAGGAGATGGAGGAGACGGAGACGTTAGTGCGTCCGATGAGGTGAGCCGGATAATGGGTTCGGATTTCGTCAAGATTGCCTCTACGCCGTGCGGGTGCGACTTGATATGATCAAAGGGACGCCGTGCGGGTGCGACTTGAGATGATCAGGGGGGCTATGGACATGAAGAGGCGGAACGCGGAGCAGGAGCCGTAGGAAATCGGGGAGCATGCGGAGGAGGGGGAGGCTGGCAGGGAAGGAGCGGGGAGGATGAGGAGCGCACCAGCGGCAGGAGGAGGCGCAGTGTTACGAATGGGTTGGGGGCTTGCCAGCTCTCTCGAAACTAATCTGATTTCGCCTCGAGTTCGATTCTGCGGAGAAGCTCTGGACAAATGCCCAGTGCAGAGACTGCGCAGGTCACGTGATTGTCTGATATGTTTGCTCATTCCGCCGGCCCATCTTGTATCACTGGTGCTATATTCTAGGCCTCCTTGATGTGGTCCGAGTAGATGGGGTCGGAGGATCGCGCCGTATCGTCGATGCATTGGCGATGCGGCTCGATGTGGAGCCCGATTTTCTCCGCGCCGATGTCGCCGATGCATCGCCGACGTCGCCGATGCATCGCCGATGCATCGCCGACGTATCGGCGATGTATCGGCGATTCGGCGCGATCCTACGACCACATATACTCCGACCCTTTCTAGGAGGCCTCTATATATGTTGGTGCGGTCGTGGCGAGCGAAGGAGGATGAGGTGGAGAAGGAAGAGGGGAGGAGTAGGATGAGGAGGAGGAGGCCTCTCGATGGCTTCTGGGGGCATGTTTGGGCCAAACTTGGTCGTGGAGAAAACCTTTTTGGGAGGTTGCTCGGGGTCACTCGGGAGGTCTCTCGGAGGTTTTTTGCAGTGCACCGCTGACGAGCAGGCTCCAAGGGTAGTGAAGCTGCCTGGCACTGGAGGCCAGGGCAGAAAATTTACATGTCGGGCCAACTCGACAACCTCTTGCAAGGCGGGAGGCCTTTGCAAAGCCTCTGCAAAACGACGAGGCGAGCCCTCGTGAGTGCATGAGGGCCGAAGTCATCGACTGGGCACCTGAGCTTCAAGGTGTCTGGGCGATTCTTGGCCCACGCCCCACATTCGGAACACAAATAGAACGAGGCCTTCAACCAGAGAACGTGAGAACAGTGAACCTGAATCCCTGAGACCCAAGACTCCACTCTGGACGGCAGCGGGTCCAAACCTAGGGCACGCCACAGAGGGTCATTACGATCTGGAAGAGGCCGAGAAGGATGCACCCACTTGTGTTGTACACGTACCTCGTCCTCCGCTTGCGCACCCGCCCCCCCCCGCATCCAGACTGCTTCGTTCCACGAGAGAGGCGGGGCACACGCCGCCTGCACCTGCGCGGCGCATGACCGGCAGCTCCACCTGTAGTCGTGGTAAGACCACCCCTGAGAGGAATAACGTATGGCCTCGGCAATCCACCTTCGACGCTCGAGGGCAAGGTCGACAGGATGCTTCTGACGGCGTCTGTCACCTTCAGCACGCAAATTCGTACACTCAAGAATGATAAGGGCATGGCGCTTCAAAACCTGGCACGCTTGCGAAACCAAGGCATCGTGACCCCGAACAACGTCAGCTGAAACATGAACCTCGGCCGCGCGATCGTCGGCCAGTTTGCCGGCAAGCGCATTCAGGACGACATGGTCCCAAGATACGGAGTCAGCGAACCGTTCTTGCCTCGGGGCGTCCGCAAGGATGTGAGAAGGGACATGCGACAGGAGGAAGGGGGCAGAGCGAGAATGGAGCAACTCCCACAGCTCCCACCAGAGATCGCTGTTGGCCAGCTTGGACGAGTGAGTCCTGCCTCCCGCATACGCCTTGAGAGTATGAGAGAGATCGGTCACCACGTGCTGATCTTGGGTCGGGTCAACGTGACGCACGCGTCCCACAATCGCCGCAAGCTCTGGACGTGGGACAGCGCAATCTCTTCGAAATCATTCTCAGGGACCATGCGCACACAAGAGAAAGCAACTCTCCTTAAAACAGGGGGCTCGGCAAACTGGCCCCTCCGACCCGTCGGCGCCGCACAAGCCCCCAGGGGAAGTGCCTGGAACAAGGGCCCCTGGAGAGCGAAGGCCACGCAGCAGCCGAGCATCCGGGGCAGCGGACAATCGGAACCACGAGGTAGGGATGAGCCCACGCACCCAAAACCATGGCAAACGATTGGCCTCCTGGTTCGCGGTATGCCTGAGGTGCTGTGTGTCAGCGATCCCAGGGCACTTGCTCCTGTCATTGCGCAGGCACTGCCAAACGCGATGCACAGTAGTCTCGGGGTCGCGCTTGCACCTCCTGCACAGGGAGTCCATGGCGAACTCTGATAAGAAGCGTCGCTCGTCAGCCCGGTATCTCCCTGCAGCTACCAAACGAACCATGGCGGCAACATATCGACGGCCTTGATTTCAAAGGACGCAAGCAACTCCCAAACGTGCAAAAGCGAACTCGGCCCATCGATGCCCCTGCCGTCGAGATGTTCGGCGGCCTGCCGCCGCTGGCGCTCGTTGATCGAATCGTCGAAGGCTTCCAAAAGGGGTCCTAGAGGTCCTCGGCCTTCAGCCTGCACGGCCCGAAGCTCGTCAGAGGGAGAAACGAGCTCAAATGGGGGGGGGGGGGGGGCAGGGCCAACCGATGGCCAGGGCAGAGGCCTGGAAAGCGCCCATCGGCCCTCGGACCCAGGCCCACCCCCGACGAATCTTGTCGAGCGAAGCTTGCCAGTGGCGGTTCAGCCGGGGCTGCAATGCTGATGTACCAGCTATTCGAGAACACCCAGCCCTGATAATCCCACGGTCTTACATCTGGGCAGGGTCATGATCTAGACCAAGTGTTTACCTGGTGGAGGTGGCGGCGCAAACTCCTCGCTGCGGCGTCTTACTGGCGGCTCTAGCCACGCTACTAAGGCTCTGCAGCATGGGCGGCGCTGCCTCCTGGATCTCTGGGGGCCACATGGCCTTGGCAAGCGCGTTAGGATAGAAGAGCTCACAGGCGCTGCGAGCTCATCAGCGGCATGCCTACCCTTCCTGAATCTGGCCTTACGCACAGCCGCAGCGCGCCGGGCTCCGAGCGCGGCCTCGCGCCCTGAATCCCTTGCCGCCAAAGACACCTGCAACGAGCAAAGGCAATCGGGTGCAAGGCTAGAAAGCGAAGGCCGAAGCCCAGGCGAGGACGCAAGAAGGTGCGATCTGCCAACAGAAAGCTGGCACCGCCGCCGCTTGAGGCTGACGAGCAGGGCCCTGAGAGGCACGGGAAAGGTGGCAGCGACGCGAGTGTGAGAGCCGAAAAGTCGCGCAGAGATGCCGTCCACCCATTCTCGCAGGCGCAGGCCAGCGACTGAGCCGTGGGCTGCGCTGGGAGGCTCGTAGAGGTGCGGTCGGGCTACAGAGGTCGCCTGCCCACAGCCAGCGAGCATGCCCCCGCGGGCCTTCAAGCCGGCGTGGACAGCACCCTCGATGGATAAGTTGCGAACTCCGAGGTGATCATTCACCGCCGACATCAGCAACCCCAACGGGCACTCGAGATCAGCAGCAGCAGCAGCAACTGAATCCTCGACACACCTGTCCATCGTATTTTTCATTTCCAAAAGTATGCCGCCTACCTGGAAGCCAGACAGGAGTCCGAATTCAGTCTCGAGCTCATCAATCCAGCCAGCTGCCTCGGCTGCGCCTCCTACTGTCGCGCCCCGCGGTCCGTGGGCCCGTCTGCCCCAGCTGGTGATGCGGGGCTTGCGAACGCGAAGCACTGGTGCGTGCATCTGCCCGAGCAAAGCAATCGGTCGTTTGCCGCCGCTTGTCTTTCGGCAACCAACTGCTGGAAAATGCAACGTGCAATGCTCTTCAATGGAGCGCAGCACTTCAATCAGATGTGTATTGCCCTTTGGGCTGGCCTGCTTGATACGCCGCGGCTCGAGGTGGCCGATGCCATGGCCTCCCTTGTCAGCACTCGCGGCGAGAGCATAATTCAACGCGCCTAAAGCGATGCGAGGCAGACGCGGAGCGGCACGAGCGTCTGCACAGAGGGCAGCTAGAGTCGCTCGAGCCCCGTCGTAGCAATGCTGTTGCCAGATGCTGGCCCGCGCTGCGGCCTCGAATTCCAAAACCTGCGCCACAGTCGAACATGGCTCTTCATGGCGAATTTGTTCGGGGGGGAGAGGGTCGACAGGAGGCCTCAGGAGACGATGGGCGGGGCCATCTGAATGGCACATGGCTCCCTTGAGCCATGTCTGCCAGTCAATGTTGTGAGCCTGGAGGGCGTCGCGGTGCGTCTTGTCTGCTACCGCAGTGGCCTCCGCAATATACGGCAGGAGCTGATCGTGCGCGTCGGAGCAAACAGTCTTAAGCCGCTCGTGCCATCGCTCAAACAGAGCAGACTATTCGATGTCCGAGAGGTCGAGAGGCTCGGGAGGCACATGCTGGGAGAGCCACGCCAGAGCCGAACGGCACTGGGCAGCATAAGCAGGGTCGGGCCCCGGCGGGGCTGTCGGGCCCGCGCCAGCGGGGGTCAGCCTCGCAAGAAGCTTCAATTGAGCGGAGACAGACTGCCACCGGCTAGCGCACCTGTCGGCCAGGCACGGGCCCTCGACCTGAGCGGAGATCAAGGGCACCCCCCTAAGCCTAGGCCGTTGGCAGCGCCCAGCACACTGGAACACGGACTCCAGGGGAAGGTCCTGCTTGGAGAACGCCCCCAGCTCTACAGCAATAACTCAACTGGATAACTGCTGTCCCAAGGCAAGAGACACATGAGCATTGTCATGCTCGGGGCGCAACATGGCACCCTGGAAATACTTAGAACTGAAGGCTGGCCGCTTTCGCTGCAGGAAGCCCGCCTGGGCAAGGTGGTAAGCCAAGGACAGCGCTGGGCCAGCCACGTCCTTGACAGGAAGCGCCTTTGGTCTCCTCGCCTTCCAGACCTTGATACACCGAGGGGCGTTCACGACGCTCAAGCCCAACGCGCAATCAGTTCCCCACGGGACAGGTACAAGACCAGTGAACTCGCGCGCTGCAGCAGAAGGCACAGAGGCCATGGCATAGTCAATGCGGCTGGTGGTGACTGTGGCGCAGGCGACCGTGACCCCAGGCATGGGAACGGGGGCGAGGCCAAGGGGCTCCAGCCAGTCCGAGGCGTCGAGCTCTTCCAGAGGCACCTGCCAGTCACATCAACTAAAGTTGGAACTCCAGCCGTGGACAAATGGGCTCCTAACTCGGTAAGCAACTTGAAGCTGTCGCCGCTGAGGCGCCCGCCTGTGCGCAAGTAGATGGGCATTATCGTCGGAGAGACCTGCCGCGGGCGGAGAGTCGCCAGCAAATGCCGAGGCGCGCCGACCTCGGACCACTCCTGCAGCACAGGTCAGACTGGACAGGCCCAGATGCGAACGCGCAAGGACCATAACTCCTGATGAAGAGTCATCGCCTTCTGCACGGTGGGCCTCCTGTGCGACAGCATTCCAATTAAGCTCGTGCAACTTCCTAATCATGGGCGGACGAGAAACTGGCAGACCGCTGCCTGTGCTCAACAAAGAGAATGACATCTGCATTCGAGCATTGGGCCCACCGCAATGCGGTGGGGCCGCTTGAGCCGCCGTGCGCTGGGAAGAGCTCGCCGCAGCCGTGCAAGGCGCCGCCGCTGGGGGCCCTCCTCCAGCCGCGGCTGGGGGCGGGGGCCTCCTCCCGCCGCAGGGGCCTGGCCCGCTGGGGGGGGGCGCCGCCGCCAGGCTCTGGCCGTTCCGCGCCAGGCCCGGGTGGGGCCCCACAGGCGGCTGGCGCTGCGCCGTCGTCGAGCTTGCGACGCTTGCGGGGCCCCCCCATGCGCTTGAGGCGCTCCTGCCGATGAGCGCCAGCTTACTCCTTGACTTAGGTGAGCGCAGTATGTCGTAGAGTAGCGACCTTCGACGCCTGCTCCTTGCGGAAAGACTCGAACTGGCTGCGGCCCTCACCCGATAAGGCGGGGCCCGAGAGGTCGATCTGATCGCCGAAATCAGCCGCGAGCTCGCCGGCGCGGTGTCTGAAGAGGTGAGAAAGATTGATGACGGCCGAGGGCCCATCTTTGAGGGCTCCAGCTGCCAAGGCCCCGGTGGCCATTTCGAGCTCCATCTCGGCCGCGACGTCATCTTCCTCGAGCTTCTCGAGCTGGGCATTGGATTTAGAAACCTGTCATTCCAACCCGACGCGCTTCGCCATGGCACGCCCGCGACGATCCGCAACTGCCTTGCGACGCTGCTGGGCCTGGTCCCAGGCGGCCCGCGTGGGCTGCGGGGCCTTGACCGTGGAACCTATAGGGGTGGCAAGGGGCGAGCAATTTCTGAGCCTGGACGGATGACAGCGAACCTGCTATCTCTCTGACCATCGCGAGGGCGTCGGGCGGGATGCTGACCACTGCCGCCTCGCCACGCCGCCAACGCTTCTTGGCGGCAGGAGGTGGGCGCGAGGTACCGCCATCAGCACTTCGGGTCGCAGACGGCTGAGCCGCCTGGACACGAGGCTCACGAGAGGAACCGCAGATAGCCTGGCAGCCGGCACACAATTACTTGCGCTCGGCGAGAAGGTCGTTCCAAGTCCAGTGGCCACTCGCGCAGACTGTGCACGCAGTGCCGCGATGATCACGCCGAGCACGAGGCATGCCACCGCCCCGCCCGATCTGGATCCACGGTTTATACTTTCCATCCGCGACTCTGGTCGCTGCCACAGGACATCAGCGAAGAAAGACGGACTGCGCAGCCCCTGTGGCGGGAGGCAGGCGTTCGGTGAGGCTGACCACCGAGCGCGCAAAAATGGGATGGGCCCTGGGCTGGGGCGGACCAGCGCACAGGATCCAGGTCAGAGCGGACTGAACAAGCGCTGAAAGCAAGCCGCAGACTAGCGGCATCCATTTTGTTCCCAGGGGAAACATGAACGGAGGTCTCTCGGAGGTGTCTTGGCCCCGAGAGGCCTCTCGGGGGCGTGTTGGGGCCTCCTGGGGGCCTCTCCCGTGGCCGCGTCGGCTCATGGTCCTAACCCATTTCGGTGGGGTGGGAGCTTGCCGTGGCCATCGTGGCTCAGTTGCGCCGCCCTCGTGGCGTCTCCCTCCAGGGCGCGGGGCGGCGGTGGGGCCGCGTGGCGCGGCGTGGGCGGCGGTCCTCCTCAGGGCTGGACCTAGACGGTGCCTTGGCGATTTCGTGGGCCGTTTTCGCTTCGATTTATTTTTGCGGTAGAAGTGGATTGAAGACAAAACGAGGGACAACGAACACTAAACGAAAACGACAACGAACAAATCCATTTAGGTTGAGCCCTGGCCCCGATGGGCCCCCCTCTCGGCGCAGGAGGCCGCGGGCCTGGAGGCGGCGGCGGCTCGGCGGCAGGCGCGCGGCTGCCCGCGGCGTCAGGCGAGGCCGCCCGCGCCGCCCGTGCCCGCGCTGCTGGGGCGCTACCTCATAGGGTCGGACGAGTCCGAGGCCGGCAGCGAGCCCGAGGGCGACGTTGTTGAGGGTCCTTGCCCCAGCCCCGCGGTGGAGGGCGAATTCGCGCATGGCGGCATGGCCGTGGGCAGCGCGCGTTGGTCCGAGGGCGAGGCCGAGGCTGGCCCCCTGGACGGCGGGGCCCGCCTTCTCGCGGGCGCCCGCTGAATGGGCGCCCTCGAACGCGCATGGCCCCCGCGCGGTGCGGCCGTGGGCCACTGCAGCGGCGGAGGGAGGAGGGATGGGGCGGAGGGATTCAGGCCCTCGGCGTCGCAGCCCCCATCTCGCATGATGGACGCGTTCGGCCAGGGCGGCGTCGCGACGACAGTGCCCATGGCCTGGGATGCGCATTCCCCAGGGGGATGCGGAGCGGCCGAGGCCGCCATTGCCTTCTCTAAGGTCGAGCCGCTCCGGACGCTGAAGGCGGTCGGAGGCGAGAAAGGCGACCTGGCGGCGCAGGCGCGCGGCGTCGACGGCCTGGCCGCGACGACGGCCCCGATCGACGAGGAGCGCGACCTTGCGGAGCAGGTGCTCGGCGACGACGTCGACGTCGACGGCGTGGCCGTGGTGCAGGCCCAGATCGACGAGGAGCGCGACCTGGCGGCGCAGGCGCCCAGCGTCGATGGCGCGGCCGTGGCGAGGGCCCCGATCGACGAGAAGTGCGACCTGGCAGGGCAGGTGCTCGATGTCGGCGGCGTGGCCGCAGCGGAGGCCCAGATCGACGGAGAGGGCGGCATGGCGGAGCAGGTGCTCGACGTCGTGGCGGCCCAGATTGACGAGGAGTACGACATGGTGGAGTAGCTGCTCGACGTCGCGACGGCTCAGGTCGACGAGTTGAGCGACGCGGCGGAGCAGGTGCCCGACGTCGCGGCGGCCCAGATCGAGGGGGGGGCGATCTGACGGAGCAGGTGCTCGACGTCGCGACGGCCAAGATCGACAAGGAGGGTGGCCTGGCGGAGCAGGTGTTCGACGTCGAGACGGCTCAGATCGACGAGGAGCGCGACGCGGCGGAGCAGGTGAGCGATGTCGACGGCGAGGCAGTGGTGAAGGCCCGGACCGACGAGGGGCGTGACCTGGTGGAGCAGGTGCTCGACGTCGGCGGCGTTGCTGCGGCGAGGGCCCAGGTCGACGAGGAGACCGACCTGGCGGACCAGGCGGCAGCGCAGGTGCTCAACGTCGACAGCGAGGCCGTGGTGAAGGCCAGGTTCGACGAGAAGGGCGACCTGGCGGCGCGGGCCTACGACGCCGACGACCAGGCCATGTGGAAGGCGCTGGGGAGGCGTGCGGCTCACAGAGCGGCGCGGGCCTCGGCGTGATCGACGATGGCGGCCGCGCGAGGGCGGCGCGCCCGGGGCGCGGCGAGGCGCGGCAGAGGGCAGCCGCGGTCGACGGCGTGGCGGAGAGCCTCGCGCAGCGCTGGTGCGACATGGCCGACGAGGCAGAGCGGCGGCCAGGCCCGCGGACGCTTCAGCATCGGGCGGCGGCTGCGCGGGCCGCGCAGGTGCGCGCTGTGAAGCTCGAAGAGCTGGCGATCTTGTCGCGGGCGCGGGTGTCCTTCCAGACTGACCGCGCGCGCCAGTGCCCGAGCGGAGAGGACCCCATGGCTGCGGACATCCAGGCGGAGCTGGAGAGGATCGACAGTCAGGCGACCGCGTGCGAGGCCGAGGCCGACGCGGCGAGCAGGGGCGGCTGACGGTGGTCGAGGAGGCTCGAGCGCTACGCGCGGCACCACTTACGGTCGATCTGATTGTCAGCAGTTACGTAGGTTGACGCACGCCTGGCGTGAGTGCTCGGCGTGGGGGGGCTTGAGGCTGGACCTCTGAGAAGCAAAAAGACTACTGGGGGATTCGGGGCCGAGAGGTCGAAATGCCTCTTCGGGTCTCTGTCAGGGCCCGCTCTTGGAGTCCTCTTGGGAACCTCTTGGGCCGTCTTGGATGCCTCTTGGGCTGTTTGGAGACCCTCTGGGGTGGTTTTCGGGCCCTCTTGGAGGCCTGTTGGGCCCTGATGGGGCGATCTTAGGGCCTCTCCGATTGCCTCGGAGCGCGAGTAAGCCGAAAAGGCGAGAACGCCAACAGTTTTCAAACACACACAGGACATCGATTACTTTTTGCGTCTGGAGGCTCTCTTGGGAGGTGCCTTGGTGGCCTCTTGGGGCGGCTTAAAGGCGTCGGGGGCTAGCTTGGACCGTTCGTTCGAGGATTCGGAGCCATCTTGGACCGTCTTGAAGGCTCGATTGGGCCCTCGAGGGGCGGCCTGTGAAGCTTGAAAGGAAGAACACCTTCTTTGATCCGAACCGGCAGAGACCTGGCCAGGGACCTGGCCGGGGCATGTTTCTTTGGGGGCTTCCAGGGGCCGCCCCGCGCGCACGAAGTAGACGTATTGTAAAGCGGTCGCCGGCGATCTTAGCACGCCTCTGGCCCGCTGGGCCGGCGAATTCTCCCCCCTCGTCATCACTCCTCTGCCCTCTCGTCTTGTGCATCCTTCTGATGACCCGCTGCTTTCCTCGCCTCCTCGTTTTCGTCCTCCTCCTTCTGCTCCTCCTTGCTGCAGATAGATGAGGTCGTAGCTTCGACCGCTTCAAGACCCTGTCTCTGCCTCCCTGCGCATCCTTGCTGTCCACGCCCTCACTCGCTCGTGTCCCTTAACCTTATTTTGCCATTCCTCGTTCTCCTCCGTCCTGGATGTTCCTCCTTCTCTTCTCTCCTTTTCCATCCTTCTGCTCAGCCTCTCAACTCCTGTCCCGTCCGCAAACGCTCACTATGTCCACAGACGGGCAGGCGCCCACAATGAATTTACGTTTTGCTGGTGCCTTTACCCTCTCCTGCCCTCTCTGTTTTCCTTCCGCCTCCTCGTCCTCCTCCTTTCGATCTTGCTCCTCCCATCTCGTCCGTTCTCGTCCGTCCTCCCTCCTCCATCCTCCGCTACCTCCTCCTTATCCTCTTGCTTCCTCTTGTTCCTCCCTCATCCCTCATCATGATCATCATCACTCCTCCCTCCGCCTCCCTCCTTCTCTCTTCCGATCTGGGAAGAGGCGGTGGCATGAGAAGGACGACGACCGCGATGAGGGGGAAGCAGGACGAAAGCGAAGAGGGACGAGGACGAGGGGGAGGAGGAGGAGGAGCGATAGGAAGAAGGAAGGGAGGCCCAGGGAAAAGGCGGAGGAGGAGGAGTAGGAGGTAAAGAGAACGGAGCAGCAGGAGGAGAACGAGCAGGACATCCAGCCTCCCCCTCCCCCATTCTGGATCATCCTCGTCCTCAGCCTCCTCCTGCGTCTCCTCTCCTCACCTCCCCCGCCTCCTCACCGCCCTCCTCCCCTCCACCCTCCTCCACCCACCTCATCCCGCACCTCTACGTGCCGCTGCGCCGGGAGGAGGTGCCCGAGAGCAAACGTCCCGCGCCGTCGAAGCCTGTCGCCGACACCGAAGCGAAGGCTCCACCTCCAACAGGCGAAGCCCCGTATGAGAGCCGCCTGGGGGGCCCTCGGATTCCGCCGTCGCAGTCGTCGCCGTCGTGCGCCTCGTTCGCCTTGCCCCATCCTCGTCCTCCTCCTGAAACCCGTAGCTCTTCCTCCATCTGCGCGTTGCGAAGAGGTGCAAGGGTGAGCAGGAGATGAGGAGGAGGAGGAGGAGGAGGAGGAGGAGGAGGAGGAGGAGGAGGAGGGGGGGAGGAGGAGGAGGAGGAGGAGGAGGAGGAGGAGGAGGAGGAGGAGGAGGAGGAGGAGGAGGGGAAGGAGGAGGAGAGGGAGGGGGAGGAGGAGGAATCATAATCTTGGGGAAGAGGAGGCGCGAGGGACGAGGAGGGGGATGAGCAGTAGCAGAGAGCGAAAGAGGAGGGCGAAGGAGGAGGAGAAGGAGGAGGAGGATGCTCTACGGAGTGGCAGTTCGAGACCCCCCCACCTTGGGACCCCCCCACCCGCACTTTGTTGTTGATTGTTAGTGGGTCTGCATCATCGGGGGCCAGTAGATGACTATGAAAGTACGTACACTATCATCACACACAGTAAGTATAGCAGACTTCCTCAAGGTCGCGAGCATGAGACGTTCAACCAACTATGCGCACTATGCTTCGGGCGAAGGCCCTCACAGCTGAATGAATTCATTGCGAGTGTTGCTTTACCCTCTGAGCCACAGCGGGCGTTATCCCCCCCACACCCCACCCTTCCCCCCAGAATGTAACGTTCCCCCCCTCCCACATGCCCCCTTTCCCCCCTGTCCCCCCCATCCCACCCCCCATAACGTAACCCTCCCCCCTAACCAGTGCGG